CCGAGAAATCGTAATCGCACTTTATCTATTAGTTACATTTTCTGGCCGTTTTCTTGCCACGCCCGCTCAGCTCCCAGTCGACCTTTAATGAAATTTACTCGGGTCGCCCCGTTTTCTATTTACTTTTGCGGCACGAAATTAATAAAGGACCTCGTTGTCCCTTTCCTTTCGGCTTCGATCCGTGTAGGGCCAAGTGGAAACTTAATCCCCAAGGAAATTATGTGAAAAATGTGCGTTGGGCTTGGCTTTTGTCCGGCATTTCTTTTTCTCGCAGGTTGGTTGGGGACTTTGTATTATTTTTTTGATGCTCTAAGTTCTTAAGCGCCGAATAGCTGTAAATATTTTTGTTGGCCGGCTTAAAACATTCAGCGTATGGCCGGAAATATAAATCGAGGAGGGAGTGGGGGTCAGGCCAAGGGTATATCAACAAAAGCAACCTGACCCCTTTTTCATTTCGTGTTTGGGGCTGTCCTTTTCCTCCGCTCCAAAATTGCAGGTTCATTTTTAAGCTGCGCAATTATCATTAAGTGGTGGCCGTTCTGGAGCTCAGAGGCGTTTCATTTGAAGGGGATAAAGCGGTTCCCGCAAAAGAATTTTCTTAGGTTTTCGAAGTAATGTAATTTTTGGAAATATCATTAAAGGAGTAAATATAAGATCTTAGTCGACATGGTGATAACTAATCTTAATGCATTAAGCTCCAAATTGAAAATTTATATAACAACATTTAATAGCTCAGCGACCACATTTAATTAAATGAAATTAAGTTGAAATATGGGAAAGTTTATTTAAACTTATAATTAAATCTGCTGGCATAAACAAACAGTTTATTTATTCATTTTAAATGGCACTTTGACGTCCATAGAACTCTATCAAAAATGTATTTACTTATATTTTAAATTTCTTTTTTTAAAACAACTAAAAAATTAAAAATTTTTAAATACTTAACTCAACCAAAGATTTTTAAGAATTTATATTGTATTATTTTAGCACATAAGATACATTTAAAATTTTTTAATTTAAATTCACGCCTTCTATCTTCATTTTTTCGGAGCCCTCTGGTGGCTTGTTTTCTCCCCATACTTTCTCCTTGGTACTTTTGGGTTTTTTTTTCTGGAAATTGTATAAAGGTTGCCGGCAATTTCGGTCAATTTGTATGAGTCCCTTTTTCCAGGCTCTTCGTGCGGATGTTTTACGTAACGGATAATTTGTGCACCACACTGCGTATAAGTTATGCGATGACTGCATAATATGGCTTCCACATAAGCTTTGCGAGGAGGGAGTAGCGTCCGATTGATGGATAGATTTGCTTCGTTGAGAGGGACCCTGTCTAATCAGGACAATTGTCTTTGGTCCTTTGTGAAGCTCCTCAGACGGCCCAAAGTGTCAATTACAGTCGTCCACGTGTACGGAATCGTGGAATGAAGGTGGAAACTATGGCGATATGAATGGATGGGGTAGTTTACCTAATGCTTATGTAATTGTCAGGTCATTGTTTAGGTGCAGACATAACGCTCTAATTAGGCCACAACACAAGCACTTAATTAGGTGGGTTTAATTCAAGACAAGAGCCAGCAGAACATTTAATTTTTTTTTAATTGCCGAATTGTCTCTGAATAGCTTTAAGTAACGCAATAAAGTTATATATACTCATCGCCCTCTTCTCGCTCGTCGTTTAGATATTTTTTTATAAAATTTGGGATTTATTTAAAAATTTAATTTTCGAAATTCGTTTTACTGAAATAAGCATTTGTTCAAGTCAACATTTTATTATTTTTACTTTTTATTCCCGTTACTCGTAGAGTAAAAGGGTATATTAGATTCGTCGGAAAATATGTAACAGATAGAAGGCAGCGTTACCGTCCCTATAGAGCCAAAAAGTTGAGACTGGAATTCTTGGGCTTCCTTCTTGGGCTTTATTTCCACTCTAACGCCCACAAGTCACAAAATAACTCTAAAACCTGAAAAGCGGCAACATTTTTCGATATTTTGTAAAAGTTTAAATGGGATTTTGTTCTGGTTATCAATGCCCATTTATATACATTGTACATGCCATTGTTGAAATCGGACCAATCTTAAAAAGTTATGAGCAAGTAAAGTGTGTAATATTGCAAACATCCGATTTTTCATGAAACAATCGACTTATTAAAGGTCAAAGAAAATCACAACCCTTTTGTTTGGCATATCTCTCGTTTTGGTCGGACTGTCGTGGCAGAATTTCAATTTTGCAGCTATATATTGCAGTCTCCTGTGAACTGCGGTCCCCAGTGGCATTTTTATATCCCCAAGGGCATTACTCGGAATTATGAAAATGAATTTGATAAATGATAGCATTGAACATTTTGTTGTTTATTTCTTCAGGATTTCATCCGCCTCAGCATTGGTTATGGGAAACACTTGCATCATTCCCGACTCAAAAAGTCTAGCTGTCAGTCCGGGCACTTCCTTATTCCCATAGCAGACGAATGTAATTTCACGAAGGAGTGGTTCTGAGGAAATGGCGCAGACCTCACTACATTCCTGCAAATTTTCAGTCCAAGGATGCAAGGACGAAATGCATCTTTTCCATAGTCTGCGCCACGATATCGCATTGGTTTTCGGCCAAGATTGCCTTTATTTTCTCTGTCTATGATCATGACAGTACTGTTAGCCCATATCCAGCCTATCTGTCTATCGTCATATCGCACTTCGATCACATCCGACTTAGATGTCGGACATACATAGATGTCGGCCATAGATGTCGGATATTATCGAAGTGCGGTACTGTCATGATTATAGACGGTGAAAGTAAGGCAATGTTGGCCGAAAACCAATGCGATATCGTTGCCAAGGCTATGGGAAGGTGAATATTGAAAACGGCGTTATCCAGGCTCTTTACAGCCATGTCAAGGTGCAAATTTCTGTCGAAAGTGCTAAAAAATTTGCAGAACTTCATTTAAATATGTAAGTTAAAGGACTCGCTTTGAGATTTGCTGGGACGTCTTATGATCCTGATCTTTTAAAGGCACTGCTCCATATGAGCTCCGCGAACTTAAAGCCACATTGATGGTTCCACTTGAAGCGGAGTCTTTTGGCTTGCTGATTCCTGTATTCCGACATGTTTTGGTCAGCGATGTCCTCGAAGGCCTTGAGGCGAACTATGAATCTATTCTGCCATCCATTCCCCGGGGGACATTCTGATGCACCTTCCTGAACCTCGGGGCTTCATCTGCTCCTTGGCTACCTCGCTTTCGAGATCAACGGCTCCTAATTATGTGGACGTTGGCTTGACACTCTTTTCATTGATTCGAAATGGCATTTGATAGGAATGATGAATTTGATGGTGACATTGGATTCGTGTTGACAATCACTTGCTTTGTTTAAAAGTGCTCCTGAATGTGAAAAGTCAAGGTTTTTTCTAAATTAAGTTATTTACCTACTTTACTACAAATGGCTTATCAAAATAGGTTCAGAGGAGGTGTCTGTTTGTAGGGGTCTGTTTTTATTCTGGATCTTGTATTGGCATTAAGGCGCTAAATGGAAAAATATCCATATGTTATAAGTACGCAAAACATTCTAGCTGCTCAGCTTTCATTGAAATAATGTGAACAGTGCTTACCTGTTCAAAGACATCTTTGACTCAGAATTCATTCGGTTCTCCTTGCCCTTCGTGGGCTTTTTAATTAAAATTATGTTTAGGGTGTTCCCCAGACTGTCGGAAAACTTGGTCAGCTGGGTATCAGGTGCGTCATACAAACTACAATTTCAAAAAGTTTATTAATTGAACAAGATCGGAGCTGTTAAATTGATAAAAATCAGAGTTTTTACCGTACTTCATTAAAAAGTCATGGCAACTCCGTTACATTTTAGTACAATTTGCAACATTTTTATACCCATTACTCGAAGAGTAAAAGGCTAGAAGAAAGCGTTTCCGATCTCATAAAGTATATATAAATTATGTATTCTTGATTAATATCACTAGCCGAGTCGATCTAGTCTTGTCTGTGTGTCCGTGTAAGCACTGTGTTCGCGGAAACTATAAGTCGATGTTATTGGTAAATGGTTAAGCGGTCTAACCCCTTAATGTAATGTTAATTATGATTAACCAAGTTATTTTCTTCCTCGATTTACTTTAATGATGTTTAAACTAAGGACGGAATATTAAAACAAGCCATTTCTTTACCAATCCATACAAAAATCGAAACTCTATGTGGCAACATTCGTTTATATTAAATTTATATGTATTTTTCCTAGGTGATCACAGTTTGATTTAGATAAACAGTGGTGCGTGAGCAGCGGCGTAGCTAAGGGGGGCGGAGTAAGCCAAGGGGGAGGAGTAAGCCAAGGGGGAGGAATAGGCCAAAGGAGCAGCCAGAGGAGCAGCTGCGTACTTGGCGACCACTGGAGCAGCCACGGGAGCAATCACTGGAGCGACGGCGATTCCATTGTAGTTCCTGGCGATCACCTGGCTGCTGGTGGCGGTCACGACTGGAGCAGGAGCAGCGACCACTGCCGCGGGAGCAGAGTAGGCCAGGGGAGCAGTGTAGGCCAGAGGAGCACCCAGGAGTCCGGGCTTGGCAGCAACGCAGGCAACGATGGCAAGGAAGACAACAGCCTAAGGATGAAACAGTTAGAAAACAAGACAAAATATCAAATATTCAAACTCACGGATTTGAACATTGTAATGGTTGATTTTTGGTGCTTTCGATTCGAAAACTTGAACTTGTCTGATGTCGTTCAACACTTTATGTCGCTATTTATACACCAAAGACTGCGTCTGTGTCCTCAGGCCATCGAATCCATTGGCCACCAACAGATATTCCACATTCAGCAGTGGGAAATCACATAAAGTATGGTTAAGTGCAAACGGTAACGGGAGACTGTCGCAGCATTTAAATGAACTGAATGCGCACATGAGTCAGAGTGGGGTAAGGTTTTGGGTATAAATATGCTCCACCAAGAGCAGTTGGACATCAAACAGTTTCTAGCCTTCCGAAGAAGCAAATCAAAGAAATATAGCCACCATGTTCAAATACGTAAGTTATCTGAGGAAGGTACTTCAAAGGATTGTATTAACTCAATTGGCTTATCCACAGGCTGTTGTCATCATGGCCATCATTGCCTGCGTTGCTGCCAAGCCCGGACTCCTGGGTGCTCCTCTGGCCTACACTGCTCCCCTGGCCTACGCTGCTCCCCTGGCCTACGCTGCCCCTGCTCCAGTCGTGACCGCCACCAGCAGCCAGGTGATCGCCAGGAACTACAATGGAATCGCCGCCGCTCCAGTGATTGCTCCCGTGGCTGCTCCAGTGGTCGCCAAATACGCAGCTGCTCCTCTGGCTGCTCCTTTGGCCTATTCCTCCCCCTTGGCTTACTCCTCCCCCTTGGCTTACTCCGCCCCCCTTAGCTACGCCGCTGCTCACGCACCACTGTTTATTTAAATCAAACTGTGATCACCTAGGAAAATACATATAAATTTAATATAAACGAATGTTGCCAGAAAGAGTTTAGCTTTTTGTATGGATTGGTAAAGAAGAAATGACTTGTTCTAATATCCCGCTCTTAACATGGTTGTTTACGCGAACGTGCCACGCCCACTCTTACGCCCATAAACCGTCTGTATGAACGCTGATATCTCGAAAAAGGTGGAGAGTTGGGTATTCAGATTTTGATTCCTTAGCTTCATATGCAGCGCAAGAGATTGCGAGATGGTAAAGCGCCACCTACCATCGAATTTAATATATTGTTAGACTGATTTAAGCGTTATGGGCGTGGCAAACTTGTATTAAGTCAATTGATAGGTATCGAGATCACAGCGTTCACAGGGACATGGCTAGGTCGATTCGGCTGTGATATTGACCAAGAATATATATTTTATATGTACTTTATGGGATCGGAAACGCTTTCTTCTACCTGTTCCACAATTTACTCAAAAATCTATATACTTTTTACTATACGAGTAATGGGTACAAAAATGCTTACTAATGATACTAAAATGTTTCACAGTTGTCTTAACTTCTTTATGAAGTATTCTAATAACTCTGGTTTTCAGCAATTTAATTGGTATGGAGCACATGATCACCAGCTGACCAAGATTTCCAACAGTTTCGGGTTACTCGTAGAGTAACAGTGTATATTATATTTGGGAAAAAGTGTGTAACAGGTAGAAGGAAGTGTCTCCGACTCCATAAATAATATATATTCTTGATCAGCATTACCAGCCGGGTCGATCTAGCCATTTTTGTCTGTCCGTGTGAACGCTGTGATCTCGGAAACTACAAGAACTAGAAGGCTGGCATTTTAGATTTAGATTCTTTATTTTCAAATGCAGCGCAAGTTTGTTCCGCGAACATGCCACGCCTACTCTGACGCCCTCGAACCGCCCAAAACTGTGCCTCCTACAGTTTAAGTGATAGAAAAAAGGTTAACGCCCGCAAATCGCCCACAAAGTTCAAAAAATCGTTAAATTGAACGCCGATATCTTGGAAACTATTAAGATAGAGAACTGAGAGTTCAGATTTAAATCCCTTAGCTTTGTTAGTAAACATGCCAAGCCCACACTGACGCCCACAAGCCGCCCAAAAATGTAACAACACAATTTTCATGATAAAAAAAAAAATGTTAACTAAAATGTATTTGCCAAGTCAATACTTATCGTCAATACCTACCCTAAACAATATATTGAAATCGAGGGTAGGTGACGCTTCACAATATCGCTTTGCTGCTTGCATATCTGATAGTAGAGGTACTAGAGTTCTTTCTTGTCCTATTAAGAAGTGTTTGAGCTGGGGATTATCAAACGACAATTTCTAGGGCAGCCACACTGAAAGAGTTGTTGTTGCTGAAAAATTTGACGTCTGACAATTCAGTACAATATTTTTTCTCGCACGTTATCACGTCCGATGAAAATTAAAGTAGATACTCCTTAAAATTTGAAAGGACATACCCCTGCCTACAAGAGGAGTTTATATAAGTAATTTTCAGCGATGATATGCTGAAGTAGATTACATCATATGACAGTGGAACAACAGTACATTAGGCAGCCGCAATGAAGGACGCTAAGCAAGCCATAAAGACATGATGCCAACGAAGGACAAGGACAAGCGTATGAATTCTTAGTCAAACAAGTCTTTGGACAGGTAGGCACTGTGATGATAGTGTTTTCCGTACTTACAACATCGATTTTCTTCCATTAAGCGCCTTAGTGCCGACAGTAGATCCAGAAAACCCTTAGCCCTTGCAAACAGACACCTCCTCTGTACTTCTTTTGTCCTGGTAAGCTATCTGCACTAAAAAAGGTAAATAACTTGATTAATAAAACAAAATTTTAGTACACCGATCTTAAAAACGTCGCCGCAAGTGATCGTCGACAAGAATCCAATGCCACCACCAAATTCATCTAGGATAGTCAAGCCCCGCCGATTACCCAACAATTACAAGGTGAAACAGGAGCCGATAGAACGCAGGTCGGTGCCAAAACCTGCTGCCATCGGTAATGAGGTCGTTAAGGTCGTTAATTACCGCAACTTCTGACACCATCCCCATCATATGCCATTTCTAGTCAATGAGAAGAGTGCCAAGCTAACGCCCACGAAACCAAGAGCCATTGATCTTAAACGAGAGATAGCCAAGGAGCAGATAAAGGCCTGATGTCCAGGAAGGTGCATCAAATCGTGTCCCCCGGAGAATGATTGGCAGACTAGCTCCACATTTCACCTTGAGGATGTCATTGACAGAAACATGTCAAAATACCCTTTAATAACTAGCCGAAAGCAGGTACAGTGTCTTCAGCATTTCGTCTCCCTCAGCCGTGGTCATGGCAAACACTTGGATCATTCCCGACTCGTAGAGTCTAGCTGAGACTCCGCACATTTCCTTATTCACATATTAGACGAAGTTCATTTCACGAAGGAGTGGTTCTGAGGATAGTGCGCAGACCTCACTAAATTTCTGCAAATTTACGGTCCAAGGTTAGTTGGCACCGTAAAAGTAACGTAAGCATATGAGTGTAAGAGCCTTGAAATTCACCATTTCGATAGTCTTCGTCACGATATCGCTTTGGGCTTCGGCCAACATTGCGCTACTTCTTCAGTTGATAATCATCACAATGCCATTGACTCATATCCAGCCTATCTGATATCGCACTTCGATCACATCTGACATAGATGTTGGGCATATATGTCGGGTGTGATCGAAGTGCGACAGGAACAAGGAAATGCCCGGAATGACGGCTAGACTTTTTGAATCGGGAATGATGCCAGTGTTTCCCATGACCACGGCTGAGGCGGATGAAGTGTTGAAGAAACTGTTCCTGTTTTCGGCTAGTTATTAAAGGCTCGAAAAATGTACCGAAAGAAACAAAAAAATGTTCCATGATCGCGCAATCATTAATAGAATTCACTTCCATAATTCCGTGTAAGGAGCTTGGGGATATAAAATGTTACTGTGGACGGCAGTGCACAGGAGACTAACATATATATTTAAAAAGCACAATGGAATCGTCGCTGCTCCAGTGGTCGCCAAGAACGCAGCTGCTCCTTTGGCCTATTCTTCAACTTTGGCTTACTACTCCCCCTTGGCCTACTCCGCCCCCCTTAGCTACGCCGCTGATCCAGCACCTCTCTTCATTTAATCAAATGTAAAATGTGATATATTATAATTGACGAAATTACAAAACTGTTGAAATTGAATGCAAGTTTTTACAATGTTTGTGTTTGTTAATCTGGGGGTCTTGACTATCCTGGATGAATATCTGCGGGACAATGCACATTCATTAGCGGTTAAGAGTTTCCATTGAGGTCCAATTCCAAGCCGACACACTTAAAATTAAAATTGTTGGTCCTCGATTTTAAAATTAGGGCACTAAAATGGTTTCAAAAACTTAAATTACTTACATAATTTACTACATATAACTTCTCAGGGCAACCGGTTTAATTATTTCTGGATCTTCTATGGGCACTACGGCTTTAAATTGAAGAAAATTCAATTGTTATAAATACGGAAATGGTTCTAGCTTCCCAGTCTTAAATGGAAATATCTTTACCGTTCCTACCCGTACAAAGAACTTTTTGAATCAGAATTTATTTTATTTAATATTTTATTGGTGCTTCCCGCAGTTGAAATATATATACATATTTAAAATAGTATTGCTAATAAAAACACTCTTCAATCGGCATTGAACAAAATAGTGCTATTAAAAAAACATTTGCAGTGAAAAAAGGAGTTCTACATAAACAATTTTGTTAGATTACCAAAAAAATATTAATACTAAAAATTCATTTTATTAGATTTTCAAAAAGTAATTCTATTGAGTCCCAAAAATAATGCCATTACTAAGATGACCCAAAGTTATGCTACTGAAAATATATCTTAATAACATATGTATTTCGTAAGAATGCAAAAAGTAATGCTAGTGAAAAATACAACCACAAAAAATAATATGAGGTACAATATTCTAGCATAATTTTTTTAAAAGGATACCAAGGATTTAAATAAGTGGCGAATTGACTAGAAGTAGAAGTACCATTAAATTTAGAAACCGTTTAAAGCTGACTATTAATTTGAATCTTAATTTGTTGTAGCTTTGAGGATTCAAAGAATATGCGTTGTTATAATAAAATTAGCTTTATTAGGTTTGCAACTGAAATTTAATTTGTGGTGTCAGGGAACAATACATTTTCAAGCTTTTTAAAATATCCAACCAAGAGAAATCTTTATTTTTGTAAAACATTTATTTGCTTTAAAAATAACAAGCTTTTCAAAATGACTTTTGATAAATTTTGGTTATTTTTGCCGATAAGCGTCCCTGAACAGCTAAATAGGCACTTTATTGGTCCATAAGAAGGCAAGGTGAAGTAACAAATTTCCCAGCAACTTCAATACATAATTGAAGACAACGGCTACTGTTCACGGAACCAGGAGCGATTGTTTTCCAAAGCGAGATAGGCAAGGAGCAGATAAATCTCCCATGTAAACGAAGGTGCATCAGTTTGTTTCTCTGGGTGGCAGAATAGCTTTACAGTTCGCCACGAGGACTTCGAGGACAGCGCTGACCAAAACTCCTCTTCATGTGGAATGAGGAATATCATTTTAAGGCCGCGTAGCGTTTGGGGCGAACGTTGGTGTTTCCGCCCTTACCTGATCTTCGGGAGAACCTGCTCCAGATGAACTGGTAAGGGCGAAACAACCAACATTCTCCACAAATGCTTCGCCGACTTGGAGCCATATTACTGATTCCTCATGTAGCGATGTCTTTTGGCTTGCTGGTTCCTGTACTCCGACATATTTTGGTCAATGATATCCTCGAATTCCTCGAGGAAAGCGGTTAATCTATTCTGCAAACCATTCTCGGGTGAGACATTATGATGCACCTTCCTGGACTTTGGGCTTCATCTGCTACTTGGCTAACTCGCTTTCCAAAATAATGGCTTCTGGTTCCTGAACGGTTTCTAAACACTTTCGACATTGATTATGAATTGCAGTTGCTGGGAAATCGTGTTACTACACTGCTGAAGTCAATCCTAAATTGCTGTCTAACCTTGGGGCTTCGGCGGGACTGATCCAATATCTTTAACATCAAGAAAAACGGGACGCTCTGGGTTAAGCTTTTTCAGTTGCACTTCTTTAACAGCTCTACAGTTATCTCTGGAACGTCGTCTTCCGAAAAATTTTCCGTGATCATTTCATCCTGGTCACGTTTCCTGAACAGCGGCTCCACAGCATCGATTTATAGAGTTAACTCTTCAGTTACCATAACATCCGTTGCCTGTGTCGGAACAAGAACTTTGGGCTCTAACAGGTCGATAAGGACGTCTCGATTTGTCTCATGGTCTTTTGCTAAGCTCAATAGCTTATCAAACTCTTCAATATCGCTGTGATCTCCAGGGTCCGCTCGTCTTTCTCATCAATAGTTATGTGATCAAGGACGATTTCTCCACCATGAACGTGACGATACTGGGTATCATTGATAGACTTTTCCAGTTGGAAAGTGCACCCGCAGCATTATTTTCTTGATGAATTCATTTCAAGGAAGACCTCTCGGAAATAAGGCACTCCAGTACTTTTTGAGGTAGAAATTTGGATTTCTTCTGACCTTCCAAGTGCTTTCAAATATCCAGGGATTCTCCGGATGTCAAAATTCAAAACGACCCTATAAAGACAAAACTTGTCGGGCGACGCTTTTTGAATTGGGGAATGAAAATGGTTTTAAAAACTATGTTATTTACCTTATTTAATACAGATTACTTACCAGGACAAAATAAGTGCAGAGGAGATGTCTGTTTGGAAGGGTTTGTTTATTTCTGGATCTTCTGTTGGCACTAAGGCGCTAAATGGAAAAAAACGTACGATATAAATTCATTTTTCACTGAAACAATTAGTAAAGGGTCTACCTGTCCAGAGACTTCTTTAAATCAGAATTCATCCGTTTGTCCTTCCATCATTGCTGCTTCTTAATTTACCTATGTCCTCAATGTCAACTGTAGTAACCTTCGTCAGCATATCATCGCTGATCAAGTGTTTTATAAACTCTTCGTTCTCCTCTGAGCCTGAATCAGATGAATTCTTGCAGTCTGGCGTATTTCTTTACCAATTCGACGGAGTATCCACTTTTATTTTCGACAGACGTGACACCGCGCGAGAAAAAATATTATACTGAATTGTCAGCCGTCAAGTTTTCAACAACTCTATTAGTGTGGCTGCGTTAGCAATTGTCGTTTGATTCCTATCGAAAAAAGTACTTAATTGAAATTATGTTTAGGATTTTCCCTAAACTGCTGGAAAACTTGGTTAGCTGGTAATCAGGTGCTCAACAACAACAACAACATTGAGGCTGTTGAATTGCTAAAGTCTAGAGTTATTACCTTATTTATAAAAAGTCATGGCAACTCTGTAACATACTAGTAGGGTATATTGCATTTGGCGCAAACCGCCCAAGCTGTGGCGCCAACGATTATATTGCTAGAATAAAGATTTAAACGTACATATAAGTATTGGTTTCGTCATAACCTATCGATGATCTAAAAAAAATATCCATGCCGACTCTAACACTTATAACGCTAAAATCTGTATGTCGCCCACATTTTGTAACTATTTTTTAAAAGCTTAATAAATAATAAATAATAACAATAAATAAAATAAATTGATTATTTCCCGAAATATCAAATTTTTTCACCAGCAGCCAGGTGATCGCCAGGAACTACAATGGAATCGCCGCCGCTCCAGTGATTGCTCCCGTGGCTGCTCCAGTGGTCGCCAAGTACGCAGCTGCTCCTCTGGCTGCTCCTTTGGCCTATTCCTCCCCCTTGGCTTACTCCTCCCCCTTGGCTTACTCCGCCCCCCTTAGCTACGCCGCTGCTCACGCACCACTGTTTATCTAAATCAAACTGTGATCACCTAGGAAAATACATATAAATATAATACAAACGAATGTTGCCACAAAGAGTTTAGTTTTTTATATGGGTTGGTAAAAAGAAATGTCTTGTTTTAATATCCCGCCCCTAACTTAAACATAATTTTAGTAAATTTAGTTTGTTACGCGAATGTGCCATGCCCACCTTAACGCCCACTAACCGTCCATATGAACGCTGATATCTCGAACGCTGATTTCTCTCACTAGATCGATTCGGCTAGTATATTGATCAAGAATATATATTGTATATGTACTTCATGGGATCGGAAACACTTTCTTCTACCTGTTCCACACTTAACCCTAAAAACTATATACTTTTTACTCTACGAGTAATGGGTATAAAAATGCTTACTAGTGATACTTTATAAAGTACGGTAGTAACTCTGGTATTCAGCAATTTAACAGGTTCGATGTTGTTGAATTACTAGAACGTTTGAAAATTGAGTTTGTATGTAGCACATGATCACCAGATGACCAAGATTTCAAACAGTTTAGGGAAGATCCTAAACATGTTAGTACCCGTTACTCGTAGAGTGAAAGGATATATTATACTTGGTGAAAAGTATGTAACAGGTAGAAGGATGGAGACTCCCTGTAGAATATGTATTCTTGATCAGCATTACCAGCCGAGTCGATCAAGCCATGTCCGTCTGTCCATGTGAACGCTGTGATCGCTGAAACTACAAGATCAAGTTTGTTTCGTGAACATGCCACGCACACTCTGGCGCCTCGAACCGCCCAAAACTGCGGCTCCTACAGTTTTAGTGCTCGAAAAAATGTTAACGCCCACAAACCGCCTACAAACTTTAAAAAATCGTTAACTATTAAGAAAGAGAATTGGGAATTCAGATTTAAATCTCATAGCTTTGTTAGCAAACATACCACGCCCACTCTGACGCCCACAAGCCGCCCAAAACTGTGGCCAACACAATTTTCATAATAGAAAACAAATGTATTTGCCTAGTCAACACTTATCATCAATACCTACCCTAAACAATATATTGAAATCGAGGGTAGGCTTCTTCACAATATCGCTTTGCTGCTTGCATATCCTTCTCGTCCTTTCTCGTCTTATTAAGAACTGTTTCAGCTAGGGATTATCAAACGGCAGCCACACTGAAAGAGTTGTTGTTGTTGAAAAATTTGACGTCTGACAATTCAGTACAATATTTTTTCTCGCACGTTATCACGTCCGCTGAAAATTAAAGTAGATACTCCTTAAAATTTGAAAGGACATACCCCTGCCTAC